CACTATTTAGATAGGGCCAAAGTGAGCATAACCCTGAATGTGACAGGTTCGACAACTGGAGAAAAGGTCTCCTAAAAATCAAACCCTTGGACTTGATGAAACCCCGTAGCAACTAGTCTGGCCTTGTACTTTAGTATGGAGCCATCAGGATTTTGTTTAATCATAAACACCCATTTGCAGCCTATTGCTCTTCTACCTGGAGGAAGAGAGGTGAGAGTCAAGGTGTGTTTGTTTAAGAGTGCATCATGCTCAATTTTCATAACCTCAAACCACTTCAGATCCTTGAGAGCAAGCTTGTAAGATGTGGGTTCAAGTTCAGTCAAGAGTAGTGTAGGGTGAAGCCTAGGATGCATAATGCTAGCTTTTGACCTTGTGACCATAGAGTGTGTGTTTTGAGGATAGGGATGGGCTATAGGAAGACGTTTTAAGCTCGAGGCAGATAGCGAAAATTTAGGGTGAGATGTAGTAGGACTTGGTGGTGTGATTGGGGATGAGTTAGAAGACTGAGGTAAGCGTGTGTTCAGTGATGTAGAGGAAATATAGAGGAAGTGGCTTGCGGAGAAGAGGTTTGTGTGGCAATCAAGGGGCTGGTCTGAGGTAACATAGAGCTAGAAGAAGCTTCATATGATGAACATGAAGAAAAAGAAAGAGGAACATGGACAAATATAGGTTATGGTATGGACATTGGAGTAGTATCTTTGTGAAACAGGTGCATATATGGGAACCTTATCTCATTGAAGATTACATCCTTTGAGATGTAAATATTTCCATTAGGTGCCATGCACTTATAACCTTTGTGATGTGGAGAATAACCAAGGAAAAAACACTCTTTGGTGTGAAATGCAAACTTATGTGAGTTATAAGGTCTGAGATGAGGAAAGTAGGCACAACCAAAATTTTTGAGAGATTTGTAGTAAGGATCAAATTGGTATGGTAGACTATAGGGTGACTTCATAGTTAAGACAGGGGTTGGCATCCTTTTGATAAGATAGGCAGCTTCCTGAAAAGCATGATCCCAAAACTTCAAAGGGAGGGATGCTTGAGCTAAAAGAGTGAGGCCTGGTTCTACAACATGCCCGTGTTTCCTCTCCATAGAACCATTTTGATGATGTATGTGAGGGCATGTAAGTCTGTGTATGGTTCCTTGTGTGGCTAGGAGAGGAATGAGTGGTTGAAAATAACCACCTCCATCAGTTTGAACTGTCTTGACTTGACGATTAAACTGAGTGGAGACACATTCCATAAATTTTTTGAAGATAGAGGTTACCTCAAACTTCTGTACCATGAGAAAAATCCAAGTATACCGTGTAAAAGCATCCACATGGGTGAGTAGATATTTGAAGCCAGTAGTGGAGACCATAGGTGCTAAACCCCAAACATCTACAAATATAAGTTCAAAGGGAGCATGACATTGTGTGGTTGAAGCATGAGATGGCAATCTATGAACCTTACCCAGACAACAAGCAGTGCAAAAGTCTAATTTTGACTGATGAGGAATGGGAATATTACACTTGGTGAGAACAACTTTGAGGACCTCATGATGAGGGTGCACCAGTCTGTTATGCCACTGAGAGTACACAAAAGGTCGTAAAGTAGTGACATTATTTGTACAAGAATTCAAACTAGCTGAAGGTAAAATATGTCCCGTGAGTGTATTCACATAAGGTGAGTTATTAGTGGATGCAGAAACATCCTTGAGATTTCCAAACGAGTAAAATCCATCCTTCCCAAGTAGCCATTGAAGTAGCACTTCAGAAGTAGCCTGGGATTTTACAAGACAAAAGTCAGGATGGAATTCAAAATAGACCTTATTATCACGTGCAAATTGACTGACTGAGATCAGATTCTTTGTGATCTTAGGAACCAGCATTAAGTTATTCAAAGTGAGTGTGACATGTGGTTTGTATGAAAATGTGTTATCAATGAAAGTTATAGACAGACCTTGACCATTGCCAATCATGACTTGATCAAATCCTGAAGTAGAGATGTTGTCAAGGAAGTGATCTACTGAATTTGTAACATGATGAGTAGCTTTAGAGTCTACATAGCATTGAGTATTTCCAGCTAGACTAGTTCCAGTGTCAGATCCTGCAAGATAAGCCAGAGTAATTGATCAACCAGTTCAAACAATGACTAGCTGACACTCTAAAAACAATGAAATAACCTCATTGGAAGTAGAACCAAAAAATGGGCTCCAATAGAGGTATCCAGAATGATTGATCATCAGGTTCAAGCCATGAACGAATGACACTCTAGAAAGAAAATATCCTCACTGGAGGTAGAACCGGAAATACTGTCTCTACTAGGGAAAAAAAGTTTCACAAATGAGTGACATCGTCAAAAGGGTTGACGAGAAGAATATGCATTTGAGAGTCATCATCAAAGGGTTGATGGTAAGGTAGTAAATCACCAAACATTATCATCGTCATCCAATTCAGAAAATATTCACCAAAGAGTGGCATCATCAAAGGATGGATGGAACAAAACCAACAGACATCGTCAAAGGGTTGATAAAAAGAAAAAAAGACTTCATTTTGAGACACTTTGTTAAAGAGTTGACCGAAAAAAAACACTTGTCCGGAGGAACACATCGTCATAAGATTGACAGAATGAAAACCTGATCTCAGACTACATTGTTAAAAGGTTGATGGAAAGAAACAATTGAATTAAAGAGTCAAATCACCAAAGGATCGGTGGAAAGAAAATTGACATCGTTAAAGTGTTGACGGAATAAAGAAATATTCATCGACGATACACCTCGTCAAAGAATTGACAGAAAGAAACAATTCACTAAACATTATCATCGTCGAAAAGAAAAACGACTTCATCAAAGAGATTCCTCGTCAATGAGTTGACGAAAAAAAATACATGTCCGAAGGAACACATCATCAAAGGAATGACATAATGAAAACCTGATCTTGGACTACATCGTCAAAGGGGTGACAGAAAGAAACAACTGAATTGGGATCTCATCAAAGGGGTTGATGGAAAAGAACGTATTTGGAAGTTATCATCAAAGGTTTGATGGCAAATGACTGATCGAGGGTAACACCAACTGCAACTACAAAAGGTTGAATAACACCAAAGACGGATAAGCTTCTCAGGAGAGACTGCCACTTATCGCCATAGAAAGTAAGTTTCTCAAAGAGATTGCCACTTGTTTTATACAAAAGATTGAGGAAAACACCAAAGACGAATAAGCTTCTCAAGAGAGACTGCCATTTATCGTCATAGAAAACAAGCTTCTCAAAGAGACTGCCACTTGTTGAGTATAAATTTTAAGGAGATGTTATTACCACAACACCGCTGGAGAATAGATTCTGTCTTCAACGGGATTTGTAAAGGATTCTTCTTACGAGACACAGTGCAAAATAAATGCACGTTCAAACTAGGTTCGGCGGCCTAATCTGGTTCAAAAGCAACAGCCGCCAGGGACCAAAGTTCAGTTTAGGAACAAGTTAGAAAAAAACAGTCAAACAAGACTCTACCCATTAAGGAATGAACTCGAATGAGAACTTATCTTATCCAAACAGGGAAAAGATAACTAAAGCAACCATCATCCACGAGAATCAAACTCCGTGGGGGAATTTAGAAAGGATGAGCACTTTATGCCTAAGGCTGACGACTCTATTAGAAAGAATAGACAAACTCAGTCACTTGGGAAATAAACGCCAATGTGAACGAAACAGATAAACACCAAAAACGTAGCAACAATGCTCAGATTCCATGCATACATATGAATGCATGTATGCCACGTTTATGTTCATGCTTGACAAAACAGACAAGGGGAAACAAAACTGAAGAAGAAATAAACATCTCAACAAGGATACCCAACCAACTTCACCAGATTAGAACATCATTAGGGATGAACATGCAAAACCAACAGTTATACTTCAAGGTTACAACCTTCTCTGGAGAAAAGAGTACACCACTTAGAGGCATAACATCATGACTTTCCTATGGATTGACATCATGAACCTGATTTTCGTATTGGAAGAAGGAGATCCATGAGAAGTTGCCAAGATCAACTGAAGTAACAACTTACTAGGGAGCTAGCAAAGGATATCACAAGAACAGTGTAGTTCTGCATTTCAATTGTGATGATTTTCCTCGAAAGGAGTCTTTGGGAATAATCATAACATAACATGGTCTGAGATGATTTTCCCTAATGTTTGAACCTTATAGTGACTTGCCTCTGCTTAATTGGTTCTTGAAAAAATTTACTTCGGATCAACTTATCTTTGGAAGCTGGGTTTTCATGTGCTCTTGAGATGATTTGCACCTGTCTGAGCTTTTGAAAAGATTTGTTTTTGGCTAACCGACTCTTGGAGTGGTTGATTTTACTGCTCTTGAGGTGGATTGCCCTAAATTGACTGATTTTTGGAAGGATCTTCCCTTAATCAACAGATCCACTATGTGATCTGTCTCTGATTGATAGAGTCCTGAGATGGTTCGTCATTGATCAATCGATCCATGAAATAATTTACCCCTTAATTAACTGATATTAAGAGACTTGTTTTAGATTAACCAATTTTTAGAGTAATCCTCTCCTAATCCATAAAATTATGAGTCTGTCTTGTTTTAGAAGGATGGAGTAATAAATATTTTTTTTCAAGTATCAATTTGGGAGGTTTATTACAAAATAAAATGACTGTTAATAAAATAAATTAAAGATAACTTTTAATTAAATTTTCATAATTTTCTTCCAATTATCATAATTTTCAAAGTACAAGTTTGCATTTATGATGACTAACGAGTACAGTAACTAACAAAACTAATTTGTTTGCATTAATGATGTCTAGTAACTAACTCACATAACAAGACTAAGTTGTTAACAAACTCGTTTCAAATTCAGTCTCGGAAGTACTAGAATCGTTTCGACTTCATACTACATTATAAAGTACAGTTGTGTTGTGTTGTAACATTCAGAAATCGAAACTACTAGAAAATCTTCATCGTAGTAACAAACAACCACATTCCCAACTCCAAGAAAACCGAAAATGAGGGCTGTTGCAGTATCCATACCTGGTGGACCTCAAGTTCTGCATGTTCGAGAAATCGATGAACCTCATCTCACACACGATCAAGTCCTCATCAGAGTCCACTTCGCCGCCGTTAACCGAGACGACATTTCTCTCCGAAAAGGCGCTTTCCGTTTCCCATATGGTGCAACTCTTTTCCTAGGTTTTGAATGTTCTGGAATTATCGAATCCGTCGGTAAAAACGTCTCCAAATGGAAAATCGGTGATGAGGTATATACATATTCATCCATTCATTTTTTTTTCAATTCGATTTCTGTTAGTCATTCACCTTGATCTTGAATGGATGCTTTCACAGGTTTGTGCTCTTCTTGATGGAGCTGGATATGCTGAGAAAGTAGCTGTTCGGGAGGGACAAGTTTTTCCGATTCCAACCGGGGTTTCTCTCAGGGAAGCGGCTAGTCTTCCCTTCGCTGCATGTACTGTCTGGTTGTCTATCTTTATCACCAGCAGACTATATAGAGGGGAAACCTTGTTGGTAAGCATGGTTCTTGATTCTTGCCTTGCTATTGATCTTTTATCTTCGTGTTAACTTTATGAATTCTCAGATTCATGGAGGTTCTGGCGGAATCGACGCATTTGCAATTAAGGCAGCTAAGTTGGGTGGATCAAGAGTAATTGTTGTTGCAGGTTTCATGTTATTGACTATTTACTCAGTTTTGGTGTCTTTAAGCCTTGACAGGATTGAAATTTGATTCTAGATATTACTATGCAGGTGATGAAGAGAAGCTATCTTATTGCGTGAGTATTCAAGCCGATGTTTGCATCAATTACAAAATTGAGGACTTTGCTGCTAGAGTGAAGGAAGAAACTGGTGGTCGAGGTATGAAGCATGGTGTAGATTCTTGATATCTTTGTTTTTTGATGAGGTAATAATATTACCATTGATTTTGTGGCAGGTGTTGATGTTATTCTTGATTGTACTGGAACACATTGCTTTCAGAAAAATATTGAGTGCTTGAATGTTAATGGAAGGCTTTTCATTATCGGCGCTCTAGGGGCGACTTTGTATACACAGATGGATCTAAGGGATTTAGTTACCAAGCGTCTCACTGTCCAAGGTATTACAATCTGAATGTAAGTATTGGCCTTCACAATTTGAGTAAAAACATGGTTTGATAAATATGGTTTGGTGGATTATGTGCAGGGGGTTACTTGCAGAATAGGAGTGCTAGAAGCAAGCAATTGATCATTGAAGATGTGAAGAAGAATCTTTGGCCTGCAATTGGAAATAGAGAAGGAATGATAAATCCTTTGGTCCACCAATGTTTCTCTTTTTCTGAAGCAGATGAGGCTCACCAGCTTGTGGAAACTGGTCACCAGATTGGGAAAGTATTGCTTGTGCCATGAAAACCATGCTGAATGCTAGATTGATGTGTACATGAAACAACATGTTTTTGAATCTTTTGAGTTTAGACCTTTGTTGATTGGTGTGTATATGAAACAACATTGTTTTGGATCATTTGAGATTAGACCTTTGTGTATTCTGGCTTCTGTTAAATAAAGTCCTGGTTTACAATTTTCAGCTAAATGTGTTACTAACTGTGTAATAGGGATCATGTTTGAATTTCTTTCTTCTGCTTTTATTTTTCTTAGTTGCTTATTCATATTTCATTGCTTACTTGAAAACTTGAATGCTTTATGGGAAATTTGATTTTAAATATAATTGATTTTTTTTAAAATTTTTTTTAAAAATGAATTTAGAATTTATAGCTTTTTTAATAGTACATCGAATTTATTTGTTTAGCTTATCTTTATGTAAATATATTTTAGCATAAATTACTTTTATATTTTTCTTTATTTAAATAAAATTAATTTTATTAAATCAATTTTGATTTTTGCAATATCTAATATACTAAGTTTATGTCGGCTGGACTTGGAGATAAAATTCAAAGAAGATATTTGAACAGAAAAATCAACTAGAATTGTTGATGAAATATCTAGTAGGTACTTTTTTCAACTTATAATACAAGTCGGCACTATAAAAATAAATATATTTTTATGAATTTATAGTTTCAAAACTATTTTGCTTAAAGAAATATTAAAAATATTCATGTATAAATAAATTATATTTTAAGCATCATTAACTCAAAATTTAAAATAACAATTAAACTTCAAATAACCGTTCAAATATCTACTAATTTTTCAAGAAGAACTAACCACAAAATTTTGTATGCCACAAGTTTAACGAAAATCAAATTAAATGATTAAAGATAGTGCATTGACAATAAAGATTTATTATTAATCATATTACATGATTAATTTAAAAATATCAGATAATATACTATGGTGATTAGTCACACATAGTTTTTTCCCATAAGCTAAAAATATAATTATTCAATCACATTTCATATATTATTTATTAAATTTAGATTTTTTTCTCATAACATCTTTATTTTATTTAGTTAAAAAATACTTTTAACCCTTTCCTAACATCTTTAGATTTATAAATTGAATAAATTTTCTTTTGTAGAGTCAAAATTCAAAAATTTGTAAAAAAAATATTCAACCCTATTTCTTTTTTATCATGTTACAATAATGCCAAAATCAAATTTTTACTTAGCTGAATTAACATAAATCATCTCTTGTTAACGACGGTTAGATCTGGTTGGTGCAACACGTGGGGTTATTTGATAGATTATTAAACATTATTGACCATTTCCCTCACTGGTACTGCCATTGAAACAAGGTTTTGACTCAAACAAACAACCTCGTTTCGTCTCAGCGGCGATTACATTAAGGTTTGTTCCAATCCTTATTCCTCACGAACTACGTTGTTCTGTTGTCAATCATAAATGTTTTTTTTTTGTTGTTGGTATTTTTAACGAAATTAGAGTGACCCATTAAGCCCCCAACGAAATAATCATAACTGAATTTTCTTTTACAGGTTTAAAGATTCAAGCTTTGGTTTATTGAGTTGTGTTTGTGTGATGGATCTAACTCAACTCAGTCCTGCACAGATTACTGTGTATGGATCTGCATTCTGTGTCATGCTTTCTATGCATTTCACTCTGCAATTACTGTCTCAGCATCTTTTCTATTGGAAGAATCCAAAAGAACAAAAGGCTATTATCATTATTATCCTCATGGCTCCTATTTATGCTATTACATCCTTTGTGGGTCTCTTGGATATTAGAGGAAGTAGAGAGTTTTTCACACTTTTGGAGTCTGTTAAAGAATGCTATGAAGCTCTTGTCATTGCTAAGTTCTTGGCTTTGATGTATAGTTACTTGAATATATCGATTAGTAGGAATATTGTGCCCGATGAAATTAAAGGAAGGGAAATTCATCACTCCTTTCCTATGACACTTTTTCAGGTATGACCTGCTTTTTTGTAGTACTCTCAATTTTGGATGTGTTGATTTTGTTCTACTTGCATGTATCTTTGATGTTTGGTTATTATACGAGTGAATCAACGATTTAGTTCTTGAAATTATAGGCCTAAGACAATTTGGTATCTGTTATTGAGGTTAGGTATATTGATTCATACTAGTGTTGTTAATTGATTTTTGCAGCCTCATTCGGTTCGGCTAAACCATCATAATCTGAAGCTTCTGAAATATTGGACATGGCAGTTTGTTTTTACCCGTCCGGTGTGTTCTATTTTGATGATTACATTTCAGCTACTTGGGATCTATCCGAATTGGTTGAGCTGGATCTTCACCATCATTCTCAATATTTCTGTTTCATTGGCCTTGTATTCTCTAGTGATCTTTTACCATCTGTTTGCTAAAGAACTGGAACCACACAAGCCTCTAGCGAAATTCCTGTGCATCAAAGGAATCGTTTTCTTCTGCTTTTGGCAGGTAAACTTATTATCATTTATATAATCGTAGGCTATGAAGCACTAAGAGATACAAACACCGACACTGACACTTTGACACCGGTAATAGTTATAAAAAATGAATAAATTGATCGTAATCATAGATGTCGGTGTCTGACACTGACACACACGGACACACTAAGAGATCATAGGACATGCTGAATACAGTTATAGCGCATAGAAAAGTTAGAGCAAGAAATCTACAAAGACTACTTTCTGTTATACGTAGATAGGATTTAAAATCCGAACAACCTAAATTGCTGAGTTTCATTCTGGCCACTGGAGTTTATAGAGTACAGAAAGTTAGTTGGATAGCCTAGCTAACTCGCAACTACACTGCCAACAGATTTAGAAGCTAACTGATACAAACAACTACAGAATTTATTAAAGCAGATACATGATTAGTACAATACAAAAACTACTGATATATACTCTTAATGCATATAACCAATCCAATTAAATTAGTCTTTCAAATGATTCTCAATTTTGTTTTCTTTCTTTTAACTTTTTTGTGATAACACTTAGTCAGATTAAAGTTTATGATTTGGCCCATAATCTAAGCATCTTGTTATTTGGAGACTAATGATGACACAATCTTTTGAGCTGCTGAGGTTTTTCGCTAGCTTGTAACATCAAGCCAAAACTAACCGTATTCTGAGTTTTATTTTGGATATTTTTAGAAATGAAGTGTCTTGTTACAATTTATTAGGATTTTTCTGACGGCAACTTTGTTTGGGCTGTATTATACAGGGAATGGTGCTGGACGGTTTAGTAGCAGCTGGCGTGATTCAATCTCGTCATTTGAAATTAGACGTGGAGCACATTGAGGAAGCAATGCAGAATATTTTGGTTTGTATTGAAATGGTGGTCTTTTCTGTTCTTCAACAGTATGCTTATCATGCTTCACCATATAGTGGGGAAGTTGAAAAAATGCTTAAACAAAACAAGAAAGATGAATGATATGGTAAAAAATAAAGAACTGAGTTATTTATTTTGCCACTAGAAACATGAAAAGATTGATGCTATATTGCTATGAGGATGTGTTGTTTTGATAAAGAATATTGTTTTGTATAATTGTATTGTATTAGGCTGTTCATACTTCACTGGAATAAACTCACCTACGTTTGAGTGACTGTAATTTTTCAGCTCTACTAAAGAAACTTGGCTTATATTTAATCACTTGATATCTACTATCATGTTTGTGACACTTTCTTAGAAATGGTGGAGCACATCTATGTTCGTTGTTGTCTCTGTCTCGTATGTTTCTTGTACTTGTGTCACATTCTATGCTTGAATTTTGTGTCACTTATTGTTGCATAGATTTCAGATGAATCAGCCGCGATCCACAAAACCCTTTACATGCATAAATCTATCTTGTGATTCTGGCGTAAGTTTCTTTTTTATAAATACTTGCATGAGTATACGAGCTAGCCCTTCATCTTTGAAAAAACAACATACAGAGGAATAACAGCGTCTAAAGTTATGATTGATTTACTAATAGGCTTAAAAATTTCTACATATACATATCAACAAAGTGTATTGCACACTGTAATTAGTTTTGAATATTTGTTTTGTGGTGTTGAATTTATTGAGACTTGGTGGAGGTATTTAAGAATTTGTTATATATGTGTATATGTGTTATGATCAATGTGTATCTAGTTTGATTAAATGTAAAACTGTATTATGACCAATGTGTATCTATTGAAAATTCTAACTAGTTAGCTTGTTTCAGAATTAGTAAGAGAATTTTTTATTGCACTCTATATTTCTTATTATTTATTATTGTATTTATATGTTTCTTAAATACCATGCAAAATTTTAAAAATATTTTTAATTTTCACAAATATATCTTCAAATGCACCTTAATACTAATATGATTAATAATATATTGAACTCAATAAATTTTTTTTTTAAAATATAATAAATTGAAAAAAATGCAAGAAGTAATAATAATAATAATCATTATTATTTATTATTATTATTAGTGTTTATATTAGTATTTAGGAGCTATATTTTTAAAATAAATGCATTTATAAAATTGCGTATGACTCAAAAACAAATTAAATGTGTGGATTAAGGTGTGTCTGTAGATATATTCAAAAATTTAGAACATTTTTAAAATTTTGCATAGTACCTAAGAAACATACAGGGCGCAATAAAAAAAACTCTTAGTTAATTTGTTATTAGATTATCATTTATGTAAAATACATTCATTGATTCATTGATAATTCTATCAACGTTGAGCTAGGAAGAGTCATAAATGATTTATGTGAGTATGAGTAATATGAAAATTTGGTCTCCCTTTCCTTCTATGATTACATTCTTTATATATAGTACTTCCTCTGTCCCATAATGAGTGATTTGATTTATCATTTCACACTTATTAAAAAAAAAGAATAATTGAATGAAAGAGAATGATATTTTTACTAAAGTTTTTACTAAAGCATCTTTATCTTGAATTAGAAACGATGAAAGTAATATTAATTAGATGATAAAATTAAAAAAAATATATTAAAAATTGAAATGTATCATTTATTTTGAGACACTCTTTTATTATAAATTGGTCACTCGGGAGTGACAATTTTGGCATGCTCGGCCTTCATAAAGTTCATTGATTGATCATTTAGACATATGCCTCTTGCCTTTATAAAGTTCATTCATTAGTTATTTAGATCTATGTCTCCTTGTAAGCATTAGAGAAATTAATGAGAATTAAGTTCTTGTTTCTCTGTTTGCAAATGATTATTTATGCAACTTGAATGGATTTGGATCCTCCCCTTTTTTATATATTATGTCATCTCTCATGTTTCTAATCTAACGGTTCAAAATTTATAATGAATAATTAAATAAAAAAAGTCAAATTACAAAGACAAATTACTTATCCATTTCTCTCTCCTATTAAATGACTTTTTTTATTTAATTATTCATTATAAATTCTGAACCGTTAGATTAGAAACATGAGAGATGACATGATATATAAAAAAGGAGAGGATCCAAATCCAACTTGAATGCTTTGTCCAACTCCATCTGTGTTGGACATGAGGTGTTATAATTGATTTTGATCGTTTAATGTTTTTTTCGATTTCTTAATGCTTTGTCCAACTCCATTTGTGGCTGAATGAACGTTGAAATATTTTGGAGATGCATTTTCGGAACAATTTAAAACATTCAATACATCCCACTCAGAAGTTGTTATTCATTTGAATTGGACCGAAGATGCATCTCCGTGAATATTCCGAAGATATATCTTTGTAACGCATCAAAACCAGGTCTTTCATGTTACATTTTATTTATCTGTGTTTATTTGAAAATTTAAATTATACCATACAATCGAAAATAAAAAATCTATGTACATAATTCTAGATGGTCCAAAAATGTCATACAAAAATGTAATACCAATAAATGTTGAAAATGTCATATAATGGAGATTAATACATTAACAAGACCGTCAAAATAAAATATAGACCATAGTACTACTACTATATACTAAGAGACTATTATGTGTGTGTGTGTGACTACCTCTCCTCTGTCTCCTTTGCCTCGTCTGTCTCACATCAAACCCATTAGGGAAGATACACGTGTTAATGCCTGTCTGCGCAATCTCGACTATGCGACGACACCTAGGAAAAACATCTTCAGCATGATCTAGTTGTGTCTGCTCCTTCTCTAGTATCTCCTAATGAGCTGGTCTCGAAGGATCTCCTGGAGCAGTACGCACAATGTATGTATGTGACACACTAAAGAAACATCTGATGTACCCTTCTACGTAACTCCAGTCGCTTTCATCTATGGTAGACCGTGCCTCCTTAGGTGCTGGATGACTCTCATAATCATCAAAGATGTCCTCCATCTGTCTACGTGTCAAGACAGGAGGAGCAGAGATAAAATGGTGTCTGGGAATGGTCTGAGTGTAGTCGAACTTTCATAGGATGCGCTCGAGAAGATGAGAAGTAGTGAGACACGGTCCACAAGAAAACCATCCAAAGTATAACACTATCTCGTCAAATGGTTACATCTCACGGTGATTAACATAATTGTCGAAGTGTATGTCCTCAGCAATCAAACGGTCAATATAGACTCTATAAGGCTCGGTCACCTGGTTTCTTCTCAGCGAGATAAAAGCAGTAGCACGTGGCATATCCTTAGTGTAAGTTAGTACACTCACCTAGATGGAGATGCGCGAGAAGTGCAGGAGGATCTAATCCTGAAATGAAAAGGTTGGAACACACGAATCATTAGTAATGGATTTGCAAAGATGAAATCAAAATAACAAAAAAGCATTCAAAGACCAATAGTTATTACCGTCATTAGTGTGAGGCTACCTCTGACCCGCTTCACCTTCCACATACAACTCTCTCTCAACTTCGAATACAGGTAAACCAAACAAGCCGCTCCCAGTTGTACTTATGGATCCTCTTGAAATCCACTAAGTACTGTAGGTAGAGGGCGTCTGTATAAGTGGCACTCTTGTCCACAAAAATCGCAGCGCCAACCAAATAAAGTAGGTATGCTCATAATGCATGTGATTTGTGAAGTGCCACCTGCTCATCATCACCATCAACCTTCTGTGCTTTTAGAATCTCAACATCATATATCTTTTTTAGGTATTCAAATATAGCATGAGCACCCCTAGTACTATCTAACTCCTTCTTTGCCTCCCTTGGGTCAGCCCTTAGATAGTCTACCATCATCTTGAGTGCATCGTCTTTGGAAATCCTCTCATGATTTAGGAATCTCCCCCTGATCGAAAGATGCAGCAAACACGAACATTGTCGAGTGTAATAAACATCTCACCATGCAAGAGATGAAACGATGAGGTCTCCGAGTGCAATCTCTCCACAAATGTATTAAACATCCCATGGTTGAGCGAAGTGTAATTGGTCATGCACAAGTCCTGCAGGCCAGATAAAGATAAAACTGACTGAAATCAATCCTAATCCGGCTTAGGCGAGGCAAAAACATTCTTCCCGTGGTTAAGAAACTTCTACGGATCACGCTTTTGGAAAAAATAACCAATGTCAGAAATTTATCAATTAAAATTAACGTAAATATAAAATAATGAATCCAACTAATGTTACATCTCCATCCCAGATATATCTGGCAGTATGGTTTGGATATAGAGGCAGTAATAACAAATCAACTAGGTCTCCTCTACATGCCATATGGCTCAACACCCGCATCAGCCTCACCCTCTAGAGGTGGCACTAGATTAATAATATCAGTAGTATGAGGTGGGACTGGTGCGGGAGGATGGAGAGAGTGATGTGTCAGATGGTGAATTATGTCTCCTACGGGAAGAAGCATATGGAATGGAACGAGCCCCAAAATTAGATGGATCTGCCTAACCAGAGGGACTAGGAGCCTCCAGAATTCGATGACTCTTCTCCCACTGCATTGATGTGTGCTGAGAAACCCTCTCGTGCCTCAATCTATTCTGTCTACGAACCATTATGTTTGTAAGTTAAAGTAAAACAAATTATTAATGTAGGAAAACAACATATAAGTAAGAAAATAAAAAAATACTGAGAAAATTCCGAAGATACATCTCCAGAATCTAAGAAACTAAAACGCTACAAAATTCTAGAGATGCATCTCTGAAATTTCCCGCAACTCAGAAGTTGTGTAACTGGCTTCAATGTACCCGATGCAATCTCAAAAAAACTTGTTTTGATCATCATTTTCAATAAACAAACATCTAATACAATATTTCTAAACTATCTTAAATTCTATTTCTACTCATTTCTAACTCTAATAATTGATTTATACTCATTTACACAAAATTAAATTTTTTTATTGAAAATTCAAAAAACTTACAAGAAATTGATAATTTAGATATTATTTTCGATGTTAGAGATGATGATTGAAGTTCCGTTAAGCCTTGATGATTGATTTTTGAGTTGGTGCAAAGAAATATTTTAGAGTGTGAAGAATGGTTTTGTGGAAAATGAGAAATGAGGAAG